CGAGATGTATCTCGCTACATTATGCGAGTACCCTACTAGTTGTCTTTAAAAAGCACCCATCAAGCGCAATTACTCTTCTACAACCACTAATCCAAACTTCTTTCAATCATTGTAAACATATATAGAAGCCTTGAAAGTAAGTCTTCCACATCGGGGTTGACTTCAACACTCATTTTTACTGTAGATCCAAGATTGGTTCTTCTAATTTGTTCACCGTACTCCCAAAGTTTATCATAATGTTTCTTCATACCTTGTTCAAATTCAGTAATCGCATGTGTCCTAGCCCTAGCACATTGGTTGATGCTCACTAGACGCTTGTATTTCTTCATCATAGCAGATTGCAAGTCCACTAACTTTATAGCAGGATTTTCTAAACTTATTGTTCATCAATGAACCAAATTTAAAGTTTCTTGCAACATATGCTCATCCACAAGAGATTTAAAGTTTCCTACTCGTGCAATATACCAGGACTTAATGAAAAACCAACCAAACGACCCTTTAAAGATTCGAAGGGTAGGTGCCAGCGTACTAGATTGGTCAGCCAGGTTTTAGAGCCATAGGTCGGGGAAGGGTTACAGAGTCTACCGCTTCTTTTTATGGTATAATATCACAACCCAGATATGGAAAAAGAACAAACAATAAACTGATATCAGATTTCTTATTGCATAAAATATGTTCCTACGTAACATACATGACGACACACACACACACACACACACACACACACACACACACACATATATATATATATATATATATATAAGCTGTTTATAGTACTTAGATTTCTTATTGCATAAAATATGCTCCCACCTAAAAGGAGTTCTCCACTTTCTTCTTTAATGAAGAGGGTGTGCTCAAATGGACATTTTTTAAAGTTGTGCTTCATAAAATACTTGTCGATTCAGCTATAACAAGCACGTGGTGCTTGTTTTAGCCCGTACGAAGCTTTCTTCAACCGACATACCTTGTGTTTTTGTTCTTTGTTGATGTAACCTGGAGGATGTACTATGTAAACCTCTTATTGTAGATCTCCATTTAAGAACACAGATTTAATGTCCATTTGGTGTATCATCCAATTGTTTTTTTGGCAAATAAAGCTATGATCAAGCGTATCATTTCTAACCGTATCACAGGAGCGAACACTTCATTATAATCTACACAAAATTTCTGACTATACCCTTTTACTACCAAATGTTTCTTAAGCTTCTCGACTTCTCCGTTTTCTTTTAATTTGGTTTTATACACCCATTTAACACTGATGGGTCTACAATACACATGATGACGATCTAGATTATTGAACTATCTGCATATTGCTATATTGTAACTGATAGAGTGATATTAATATTATCTTTGAGCATATCAATAATGTTTGCTAATGTTGTGAGTTTGTCCTACGAAAACTACAGTCTAATTAAATGAATTTGTTTTGATCTACGTACTATCTTGGAGAGTGATCGAGCAAAGCTACATAAAGATTTCTCCCATATTCTGGTAAAGTTGATATATATGGATTCCATGGATCTTAAAGGTATTTCATGTGTTGGTAATATTTTCTTTCCAAGAGTCTAATTAAATGAATATGTGTTCTTTCCAAACTTGAGTCTGGAATACACAAGAAGCCAATATCAAGCAGCAAAGAAGATGCTAAAGACTCGATTAAACTTGAACATAAATTGCATAAGTTATATATCAGAAAAGGCAAAGACCTAAATTGCAGAAGTTGAGGATGATATCGATTAAACTTGAACATAAATGCTCAACTTTTTATTTCTTAATTATCTTCTTTTCCTTTTCACTTGATACTAGTTGAACAAGAGAAGACCTTGGTAGAAAGGCAAGACTATTTGCGAAAAAAAATTACAGGGGATAATGAATACAGGGGACATAACCATGATCATGTGAATGTGAGAAAGAACTCAAGTTTTTGATGGTAAACTCCATGGAATTGTTATATGACTTGTTGCAACCAATTAATGCACAGTTTAACTCTACAATCAATTAATGCACAGTCACAACCAAACATCAGGCAAGTCTAGGGGGGAAAGCAAGTGTACATATACATCTATTGCTGTAAAACATCTTGAATTTACCTGTTGAAAATCGAAGCACTGAGGATGTCGATGAAGAAGAGGATGAAGGTCGATTCGGGTTTAGATTCGATCAAGAAGAAAAGGATGAGGGTCGATGAGGAGAGGATGTGTGATTGAGGGTGATTGAGTTTGAGGGTGAATGAACAGTCGGGTTTAAGAAGATGAGGGTTTAAAAAAGTTTTTTTTTTCTTTTTAAAAGTTGTTTTTAAGTTAAATTTTTTTTTAAATGACATGTAAACTATCCATATGTAACAAGTTATCCTATATGTCTTTCATATCATTTTAAGTTTGACATGTCAACAAAGAAAAACATGTTCAAAAGGTAACATGTTACCCAATGTTATAACGAGTAAATTTTTGGAAGTATAATATCTTAATAAAAAATATTTTGAAAGTAAATTACTATAATAAAAAAAACTTATAATATAATGTTCTAATAAATAAATTTGTAAAAATATATTGTTATTTTACTCATTTTACCTTATCTAAAATAGAAAAAATATTTGAATATAAATATTTTATTTTTTCTGAAAAATGGATCGGAAATGCTGTAATAGGTTCATCTATGGCCATGGATGCTCCAACCAAGTGAAAGATATGGTCAAAGACCGCTGAATCCATCTGCAAAACATTGAGGTTTTACGCGTCTAACAACAACAAACCCCACACCCACCTCCATAACAGCTTGGTAATCACATCTCCCTATAAACTACAAGTCTCTTCCTAGTCTTAAACCTACTGACAAACACACACACACACACACACACCAGTCGGTGCTCTTCTTTTACTCCCACCCACGTTCTTTATTATTTTAATCTTTCTGTTCTTCATCGTGTGGAAGATTCAATCTTTCCATGACCCCATCACCAATTTTTTGATTCTTAATCTCTCTTCCCAAATCTGCATCTCTGAAACCCCTTTTAAAAAAAATTGGGTTTTGCAGAGTTACGTACCAATATGGGTCAAGAAGGTTTCACAGCTCAAAAGAGAGGATCTTCTACGCTACCCACCTCCACCGCCCCCAATGGTGGCTCCCGCAGCGGCCGTTCTCTCCTCCGCGGTGGTGGCGGCGGCAACCGCCAGATCCATAAAACCCTTAACAACATCAAGATCACAATCCTCTGCGGGTTAGTTACAATTCTTGTTCTTCGTGGTACCATCGGCTTCGGCTCCCTTGTTTCTGATAATGACCTAGAGAACCAAGCCATTATTGAAGAGACTAATCGGATCCTAGCCGAGATCCGATCCGACAAGGATCCGGATGATCCAGAAGATAATCAAGATCAGTCTGTAATCAATCTCAATGACACTTACTCTCTCGGTGCAAAGATCTCCAACTGGGACGAAGAACGAAGTCTCTGGCTCAGTCGGAATCAAGATTTCCCCAATATGGTGAATGGTAAAGCTCGAATCTTGCTTGTTACAGGGTCCCCGCCAAACCCTTGTGACAATGCTATTGGTGATCATTATTTGTTGAAATCAATCAAGAACAAGATTGACTATTGTAGGATTCATGGGATTGAAATTGTGTATAATATGGCTCATTTGGATAAAGAGCTTGCTGGGTATTGGGCGAAATTGCCATTGATTCGCAGGTTGATGCTATCTCATCCAGAAGTCGAGTGGATTTGGTGGATGGATAGTGATGCATTGTTTACCGATATGGTTTTTGAAATTCCATTATCCAAATACAAAGATCATAACATGGTTATTCATGGGTACCCAGATTTATTGTTCAATCAGAAATCTTGGATTGCTCTCAACACTGGTAGCTTTTTGTTTAGAAACTGCCAATGGTCATTGGATTTGCTCGATGAATGGGCACCAATGGGGCCAAAAGGGCCGGTTCGTGAGGAGGCCGGCAAGATTTTGACAGCCAATTTGAAAGGGAGGCCGGCTTTTGAGGCCGATGATCAGTCTGCTTTGATATACTTGTTGATCACAAAGACTGAATGGATGAAGAAGGTTTTCGTTGAGAATTCCTATTTCCTTCATGGGTATTGGGATGGATTGGTTGATCGATACGAAGAAATGATGGAGAAATACCATCCTGGATTGGGTGATGAAAGATGGCCTTTTGTGACTCATTTTGTTGGTTGCAAACCTTGTGGGAGCTATGGGGACTATCCGGTGCAGAGGTGTTTGAGTAGCATGGAAAGAGCCTTCAATTTTGCAGACAATCAAGTGCTAAAGTTATATGGGTTCAGACACAGGGGACTTTTAAGCCCTAAAATCAAAAGGATCAGAAATGAAACTGTTACTCCATTGGAGAATGTAGATCAGTTTGATATCCGGCATTCGACTCAAGGGAGTAGCAACTGAAACCATCATCATTAATTCTCAACAGGTGATGATGATGATCTTTTTTTATTGGTTTTGAGTTTTAAACAAGTTTATAGTTTAAATTTATTACTATTGTACTTGATTTGGTTCAAAACAATGTAGAATTATTTTGTTAAATTTTACTATGAAATTTTCTATAGTTGCAGTCATATGTCACTGTGTTTTCCTGTTTCTTTCGGTTCATGCATTATGATCATGAATTCAAAGCCTTGATGTGTTGAAGCTTCTGGGAAATCATTACCGAAAGTAGATCAAAAGTTGGAAATCATTGAAACAGTCATGAAATGATGGAATCTTGTTGCAGGATCTCAAGAAGTGTATGGTTCTTGAACAAATGCTGCTGCAGGTTATCAGTTTAGTGGAGATCAAATCATGATCAAGTGAAAGAAATGTTGATCTATGATTGGGTTGACCCAATTAAAGAGATCATAATGGCAAGATCTAGATCAGACCCGTTTATTATTTATGTCTTAATCTTCGTACTTGAAAGATGTTATCGAAAAATTCAAATGCTTGATCATTGTATCGGTTCCCAAATGGAAGCTATCTTACCTGGAAATCCCAAATTTCATAATTTCAGTTGAGCATTTCATCGAACACAAACGATCCATCAAAACCTTGTACTCAAACAATGGAGTTGACAGCCTTCCTTGCTCATCTCTCATCTAACCTAAAAAACCCTTCTTGTGTTGAACTCTGTTCGTCACAAACAAATTCAACCACACTATTTTTCTTCTTTAAAAAGAAACAATACTTAATTTGATAATTAACTCAATAAATGATTCAAGAAAATCAGATGATCATTAATTAATAAATGTCCAAAATGCATTTAATTCAACAAGAAAATGACACAAACATGATTGGAATTCACACCTGAAGTAGGAGCAAAGTCATGCAACAAAACCCATATTTTTCAGTCTGATCTGAAAAATAGTCAAACCACTCGGTCTGGTCTGGTTTACGGTTTGAATGTTTTTTCAGTGGTCTCCATAGAGCTGACAACCAAAAATACACATGTATTAATTATATTTAGTTTTCATTTTATAGACTTAACTTTTATGGGTCAATTAAAAAAGTTTGTCAAATAAATTATGTTTTTAGTTTTCATTTATGAATTTACATTATTATCTAAATTGACAAAATTTTGAAATCAATCAAAAATCAAATCCAAAGTTCTAGATCGTCTTTCGGCTTGTTCAATGTTGTCCAAAACTCTGACTATTGTTGATGGACTTATTTAAATAAAAAATTTCAATTTCATCAATGTTTTTTTAATTATAGAAATAAATGTTTCTTTTAAAATTCGATATAGTATTTTTTAATGATGTTATATTGGTAGAAATTTTATTTGGATATTGATGTTTGTTTTTTTAGTTTAAAGCCTATAAGAGGCGCAAACTGTCTGATCCAGACCTGACCGTCTTTTTATGGTCCGGTTTGACCGGTTTAGTCAATTGTTGTCAAATCGCCCAATTTGGGAAATTTCTTAGAACACCATTGCGGTTTGGTTTATGGTTTCCGTGAATACCCCTAGATAACGGTCACGTCTTGATGATGTAAATTGAATATTGTCGTCTGTTATGTTTGATTATTTGATGAGGCGAATCTCGGTCATAAATCTTAAATTACAAGTGGGACCTGCAATAAATAAGAAAGATAACTTTTGTTGATGATAATTAAGTATTACCGACAGTCCTAGTTAATTAGTAATGACAATCCTTATTATTGATGATCGTATGTTGGGGATCTTATTGTCTTTCATAATATTGTAATTGGTTATGGTCATTAATTACGATGATCCTCAATCGAAGACATCGTCGTCGAGGTTGATATCCTCCTCAGTCAAACTTATGAACTTGTCACCCGAACGATATCCAATAGAGCGGGTCCGCCACTGGATTCATAAAGGTCTCTCTTCTCTCTATGCCCGTCATTTCTTTTTTGTACTATATATCTCTCAAGAGCTTCTCGCACGTCCCAACCTTCAATCGAATTCCATACTCGTTCAATGGAACTCGATATGGATAACGTATAAATTTGAATCGTGTGGATATAAAGTATAAATATACGTAAAGCTAGACTCTAAATGTTTAAATGTAATATATGAATGCAAAGTGTTTTTTTGGAGCACTGTGTTTGTCGATAGAGCTGGGTAGGATTAATAGTAGTTCGATAGTTGTAATGTATGAATGTGTGCATATTCTCTTGTAGCACTCTAGAGCTTGGTAATAGTTTGAAGGTTATAACAAATGAATCTAAGTTATTCTTTTGTGGCATTGTATTACTCGATAACAGTTTGATAGTTATAATGTAAGACTCTGAATCCATTCTTTTTGTGAAACAAATTCCTATTGGATTTCTTTTTATTCGTTAACCGCACCTCGTCGATTTCGGTCTCCATGACCTCACGACCCTCCTTGACTTTTTTATTACAGTCTCCCTTCTGTAACCTATTACACACCATACATTTTCAGATTTTGGTTAACTTTTTTTATTTTATTAAATATTTGATTTAATAAAAAAATAATTTTTTATTTATAAAAAGTCCAAAACGAGCTCTTACAAGGATAATTTAGAAATTGAACTCAAATGAAAATGTTTGTATCTCGTAATTAAGACGGTGATTTTCTTTTCAAATGTTGAAATACGATCAGATGAAATATAAATATTAATGACATGTTAATAAGAAATCCAACCAGCAAAAGCCGGATAAGTCAACTTTCTCAAAATCTTGATTATCCTCCAACTCATTAGCGGATTAAACAAATCCCAAACCCACCAAATGAAATTTAACAAATTTGGAATAATGGTATTTTTTACCATTAAATGACATTCTTTGTTTAGATCTACTATATTATTTGTTATAAAAACCTGTTAATTTTTCATAAAAGATAAGTTTTATCTTATTCAAATGTATGTAACAGTAGACTTCAACCGTATAAATTTAGTCAAATAAAATATGATCGAATCGCTGGAATACCAAGTCTAAAATCCTGAAATCAAGTAATTATAACAATGAAACTTCATTGTTAGATATATCATAAGATATAAATATAAAGTATATATGGAAGGGGAATGTGATATGATAGCTGGAGACACGGTTTGGACTTTGTTTCAATTAGTTGGTACTTTACTAATTTTCTATTAACATAACTTCCTAAAAACAAGCCATTGAATTGGGAATTCCTCATAAAACCAACCATGGTTCGATTGGATTCGATTTATAATAGAAAAAACTAAACGAGACCCTTTTCTTTTGGTCGCTAATTAATTCCATAGTAGTACGTTTTGGGACTTCTTACGGATCTTCCGTTACTTTACCATGTATATCAAACTAAACTTGCTTGGAAGTCATATTCGCATAATGAATGACTTATATAGAAGAAACGTTTGACTTGTGAGCACGTGAACCTTCCTGTTTTTGTGAGATCACTATTTTACACTTGAAACTTTAAAGTAAACGCTTTAAAGGTTTGGTTTTTTTTTACTTTTATAACGTTTTACTGTGGAATTTCAAGTGCTAACAAGTTGGTGGAACATGAAACCAACTCATAAACTTTTTGTATAAATCTTGTGTTACAAGGTCAAAGGCTTCCCGATAGTGGGGTTATACAAAAAGTTGGTACTTATTTTATAAATAAATCGTTAATTATAAAAATATGGATTGAATTGAAGCAAGTCTTGCACGTCCTTCACCAACATTTCTTCAACTTTGATCATTTAATCCAAATGTTCCTTATGCCCATTCCATCCCCATAACCACCGTAATCCACCGCCACCGCCACCGTAATCCACCGCCACCGCCACCGCCAGCATGGGAGGATCAAAATTATCCTTTACCGTACTTTGTATCATGTTTTACTCTCTTTCTACAAATGCCCGATTCACTCCGCCTGAAAACTACCTCATCGACTGTGGATCACCTGAAAACACCATTCTTGACGATGGCCGGACCTTCAAGTCCGATCCTCAATCGGTCTCCTTTCTATCCACCGACGAGAACATATTTGCCACCTCAATTTCTGCTCCCCCTCTATACCGAACTGCTCGAATCTTTAACACTGAATCGGTTTACAAGTTTCTCGTCTTTCAACCCGGCCGCCATTTCCTCCGCCTCTACTTCTTCCCTCTTCATCATCCCTCGTATAATCTCACCACCGCGGTTTTTACAGTCAAAACCGATGGTCTAGTTCTTCTGCATGATTTCTCTGCCACAAACAATTCGGATTCTCATTTTAAAGAGTACCTCATTAACGTCACTTCTGATTATTTCTCGCTTGTTTTCTCGCCATTAAAGAAATCTTTTGCTTTCATCAATGCTATCGAGTTTGTTTCGGCTCCCAATGAGCTCGTTTCTGATTCAGCAACCACCGTCTCTCCTGCCGGAGTTTTCAACGGGGTGTCAGGATACGACTTTCAAGTCCTGCACCGGGTTAACGTCGGCGGGCCGACGATTAGTCCAAAAAATGACACGTTGTCGAGGACATGGATGAGTGATAGTGATGAGTACATGATGTTTCCAAAAGGGGAGAAAGTTGTGTCCGTTGATCCGAGCACAATCAACTATCCGGATGGCGGAGCCACTTCTTTGATCGCTCCTAATCAACTTTACTCATCCGCAGCTTCAATGGCGGATTCCGGTGTCTCCAACTCCAATTTCAACCTCACCTGGGAGATGAAGGTCGATCCCGGATTTAATTACTTGATCAGGCTGCACTTTTGTGATATCGTGAGTAGCGGTTTGAATACCCTCTATTTCAATGTGTACATCAATGGCTTCATCGGGGTTTCGGAGCTCGATTTGTCGTCGCTCACCTCGGACCTAGCCATTGTGTACTACAAAGATTTCATGATTAACGCGTTGGCCATCTCTAACGGCTTGATAAGGGTCCAAGTCGGACCATCGGATCTCGAAACCTCAGCTCCAAACGCCATACTCAACGGTTTGGAGATCATGAAGATGAAAAACACGGCTGGGAGCTTAGATGGGTTGTTCTCATCTGGAAGCAATAGTCGTGGATCCCGCACCACGACTATTGCTGAGGCAACTGGTGTTGCAATTGGAGTCATTATGCTTCTCGTACTGGTCGTTAGCCTTATACGAAGGAAGAACAGGGCTCGAGATTGGGACGAGGGTGGAAATAGTTTCACGTCGTGGTTTCTTCCCCTTAACGCGAGCTATTGTAGTAGTTTGTTGTCGAGTAAGAGCAAGAACAAGAATGGGTACTCAAGCGTTTTCCCTTCCAAGATCGGCCTAGGACGGTCCTTCGCTTTTAGCGAGCTCAGAGATGCAACGAAGAACTTCGATGAGAGCGAGGTTATCGGTGTTGGAGGTTTCGGGAAAGTGTATATAGGCGAGATCGAAAAAGGAACGAAGCTCGCTATAAAACGAGGAAACCCGAGATCTTCCCAAGGCATCAATGAATTCCAAACTGAAATTCAACTGCTATCCAAGCTTCGACACCGACATCTTGTGTCCTTGATCGGATATTGTGATGAAAACACGGAAATGATTCTAGTTTACGAGTTCATGGCTAACGGGCCTCTCCGAGACCACCTCTATGGATCCACCCTACCTTCTTTGACATGGCGCCAACGCCTGGAAATCAGTATTGGTGCTGCCCGAGGACTGCACTACCTGCATACCGGTGGATCATCGCAAGGTATAATCCACCGGGATGTCAAAACCACAAACATTCTCCTGGACGAGAACCTAGTCGCCAAAGTCTCCGATTTCGGTCTGTCGAAAACTGGACCTGCTTTGGATCAAACTCACGTTAGCACTGCGGTTAAGGGCAGTTTCGGGTATCTTGATCCAGAATACTTCCGAAGGCAACAACTTACAGAAAAATCCGATGTCTACTCGTTCGGTGTCGTCCTTTTCGAGATTTTATGCGCGAGACCAGCTCTCGATCCTGCGTTGCCAAGGGAACAGGTGAATTTAGCAGAGTGGGCAATGCAAAAACAAAGGAAGGGTGGTATCGAGATGATCGTGGATCCTAAAATCGTGAAAACCATAAGCTCAGAGTCACTGATAAAATACGTGGAAGCTGCAGAAAAGTGCATAGCAGAGTATGGTGTTGACAGACCTTCCATGGGAGACGTTCTGTGGAACTTGGAGTTTGCTTTGCAACTTCAAGATGCATCTTCGCAGTTGGATCCTCCTCAAGAAAAAGAAGACGGAACCTGCAACGTCAAAAAGATGAAGCTTATTGGTTCAGAGGAATCCAAGAACAGTGATGTTAGTATTGTTATAAGTGATGATTCAGGTGTGGTGATGGGTTCTCCATTGTTCTCCAAGATCCAAGATTTTGAAGGAAGATGAAATCTTTTGGTGTTCTTTAAGTTGATTGTAGATTTGGGTTTGATGCAAATTTAAAATTTGAGTTTATTTTCTGTTGATGTATTCTAATTAATGTCATAAAAGATTTCTTGAGGGATGAATACGGTTGTAAGGCTATTCAGCCATGTTATATATGTCTGTTTCATTACATTATTGTTTTATTTGCTTCATATTATCATCGTGACATGTTGTATACAATCTTTCATCCATTGTATTGCTAATGCTATATGATCGTTTACACACATTTTAGGCATTTCGACAACAATGTGTAGAGATTCGAAACCCTGACCTTCAACATTCACGGGGTTACAATACGTCAAAAGGTTTGTACAAGGTTTTAGAGGAATTCGATCGGGCTTTTGGAGGAGTATAGGCTTATAGTTCGTTTTTGGAGGAGTGTGGCAAAGTGATGGCCCGAGGGGAACGCGTTCTTGAGGAGGAGGGAATTTGTTGGCTGGCTGAAAGCCCACCATCCCGACGGATTAAGCCATCAACTCGAATATTAAGTCGTAAACAAATAAAGGAAAAAGGGCATCACTGACGGAAATTACTGATGGATCATCAATGACCACAGGTTTTCCCGATTTTAAAAAAGAAAAGAAAATAGTTATATATCTTCGGTGATTTGCATGGATAACCGACGACCATGTGTTTTCCCGTGTTTAAAAAAAGAAAAAGACGATAATTAAATATCCCTCGATCATTCGTCGGTGATTTGCGACAGATCACCGACGGCCACGTGTTTTCCTGTTAAAAAAGAAAAGAAAAAGAACATAATCAAATATATGTCGGTAATACATTGGTGATTTGTGACGCATCACCGACGACCACGTGTTTTCCCGTTAAAGAAAAAGAAAACATAGAATATTTAAAAAATTGTTGGTGATCCGTTGCCAATCACCGACGGATCACCAATGATTTATTCTAAGTTTTGTGTTTTTCCAAGTTTTTCTTATTCATGTGAGCTTTACTTTGATTTACTTTGTATAATTTATTATGTGTGTATGTGTACATGTGTATGTGTGTATATGTATATGTATGCATGCGTGTGTTGCATATATTATACTAAATTATATGCATGTACATACAATGATACAAGTATGTATATGTATACATGTATATACTTATGTTATATGTATACTATGCATGTATGTGTTGTACACATATATGTGTGCATGTATGTATGTGTCTCTATGTATGTATATGCAGGGCCGACCCTGAGATTTTGGATGTCCACGGCAGAAAGTCAAAAAAATTCCCCTTATAGTGAAAAAAAATTAAATCACAAGTATATATGAGGATGTTTTTAACTTTAAAACAACATGAATAATCGGTATTCATTATTCACAAATGAAATCTATGCAGATATATGGTTATCAAGATGCCAATTATTGATAACAACATAGTTTTAACTATTTATAGGTTTTTAGATAAGACTTGAAACATAAATTGTTAAGAACAAGAATATGAGAAAGAGACTTTAAGAAATGAACCTCATGCATGGAATTGTCTTTAGTTGTAGAGTTTCAACCAAATGCAAGTATTTCAGGCATCACATATATCCCAATAGCATCAAGGTGTGTGCTAACACGTCCATGAAATCCAAAACAAATTAATAAAGTCTTTCTTTCTCTTTGGATTCATTCAGTCTTTTCCCGTCGTTCAAGTGCAATTTCCACACCTGCACCGAGGAATTGGCGATACCGATTGTACCTCGTCCCACAGATCTCTCAACCTGGTGTAGTAAGTGGAGACAGATGTCTCAACCTGGTGTAGTAAGTGGAGACAGAGGCTCCATCCTGTTGCGTGACTATGAGGAATTGCTTTAACTCGTATGCTCGTGGAGCACTTTCTTTTCCAAATCTCTCCTGAAGATCTGCCCATATCTATGTTGTCATGTTTGTGTACTTGACACTGGCTCTAATGTCTCTTTCCATCGCTGTGGTGAGTCATCCTTTTATCATAGCATCGCAACGCATCCACATCATGTAGTTCGGTGATTTTTCTTCGGGTGTTTCGATGATCCCATCAATGAATCCTATCTTGTTTTTGGCAAACAAAAAAAATTTCATCTCTTGAGACCAATCGTAATAGTTGCTGTCAGAGAGGACATCATTCACGTGCATCTACCTCAGGTAGCCTGAGGCGTGGATGTAGTATGGAGAGTTAGAGTCGATGAGGCCTCCATCCTTTTTTTGGGTCATTGTTGGTTGAATCTTTTCTGGTCATGGCACTACTGCTGTTGTTAGGATTTTGTTTTGGTTCTACAAAACCAGCTCTGTTACCATGAAAGTTATATAAGTGGAAAAGCTTATTTCATTCATTCATCAAAGCCAAATTTATAAACCAGAATTACAACAAGACCTACCTAAAATAAAAGAAACAAAAAAGGTAGACTACAACAAACATTGGCTAATAAACAAGAAGCGATAGCCACGGAATATGCACAGTAAAATAGGGGATACGGTTTCCTTTATAAACAACCAAGCTACCTACAAACATATCAATAGTGAAATAGCCACAAACCAAAAAATCCATGATCACGCATTATGCATACAGGCAATGACGCCCACTTCGCTATCTTCTTTGGCAACATATCTTGCAGTATGTCAATTCCACAACAACGTACAATACTTTCAGTAGTCGTGCATTCACATACATCATTTGTGTACTATTGCCATCTTCGTCTCCATTATCTGCATGATTCAAAAACTCGGGCTTTAGCATAATCTTCACAGTAAACCAAAATGAATGTGCAAGATATGTTAGGCATCCAAAATGAAAATCGGGAAAATGATGTATCCACAAGTGCATAGCTATTTGTAAGTTGTTCTTTCTAAAATACATCCCCAAGACTGCAAGTTGTTATAGACATACCCCTATACAGACGATGGCTCCTTAAGGTTCTAAATCAAACGAAAATCTGCAATAGATGTTAGAGCACCATAACACTGACAGCCTTCAAACAGTTCGGAAAATTGTTTCTGTAAATCCCAGGTGAAAAAAGTAAGCATGTTGATCGTAAAGTTCGTTCCACTTATCGCTGCGTCTTCTTCTTCTCCGGCCATCTACCCTTCTATGGTAAAAAAAAGTTATAAGCATGACCAAAATTATGATGTCGATTAAAGAGAAATGGATAAAACACTATGAATGAAGAAAGGAAGACTTGTTGCTGGCAGTTATAATGATCAATGCAGTTACATAAAGTTGTGGAAAATGATCATCGATTTGAAATTGAAACAAGTCAGCTGGATCACAAAAATCGAAGTTGAACTTCTGCTGATATAAAGCTTACCGATGATATACCCATCAGCTTAAGAAACACTTTTGATCCAAAACATAAAGCCAAACCTTCAAAGATACCAATGACAACAGCCAAAAGCAAAGTTGTAGAGACGGAAGCTAGCTGTTTCCTTTCTGCTATGTCAACGAAAGCTTTGTCATTGTCATTGCCATTTGTTCTCCTCTATGCCGTTGAACACAAGGTAAAATTCAATATTATGAAGTAATTTTTTATTTCAAATCATTAAGAAGGTACTTTTGCTCCACCTTGGCTGGAACTTCTACTGGAGTTCTTTGGAATATCCTCGGCCACAAAAGAAGTAGCAACACTAAGGAAAGGAATGTTAAAGAGCTTAGAAACAATGTTGAAGATTGATATCGAGACACCAACAGAAGCTAACTGTACAGGGCCTGAGAATGACACCCGTAGGTTTCAATACCAAATCATAATATAGCAAACACGAAAAATAGAGAAAAAAAGGAAGAAAATAGAGAATCTAACAAAGAGCCACAAAAATCGACATCAGTTGGATTTACTATAAATTAATACCGGATCACATTACGTAATTTACCGAGATAAGCTGTCTCCATTAGTAGGGCCATAGGTTCAATAGCTTTGCCCTAGTGTTGGTAATAAGAGGGCAGCAAGCTCACATTTGATATTTTGCAAACGTGATTTCTCATCATTTCTGGTTCCTCCGTGGAACCAATACCCATCAAGTTCTTGTATATAAGAGTGCAAATAACTTAGAAATGCTTTTAAAAGGGCTATAATCAAGATATTCTAGCTAGACTCTATCAAGAAACAATTCATCTCTGTAGAAGTTTTTAATAAGAGAAACCCAAGTATGCAACAAAATGTTTCTGAAAAATGGCAATCCATTTTGTCAATATTTCTGGAAAAATGCATATATTGGTCTGTATTTTAGCATGACAGATATCATCATTTTAGAAACCATGGTTCAAGATTTTTATACATTCCACACCCCCTCCGCAAATAAAAAGTAATGTATAATAGATTAAAACAATAGAAGTTTGAGGGCTTACAGATACACTTCTCTTATATTTGAGCCATCATTCTCCTCATTTGTGACAGAAATCTCTTCCAGTTCGGAAGAACGCATAGTATGGAAGAAATACATCTCCTCTTACATGTAACTGAAGAATATAACATTGTCTTTGATGAAACTGGGCAACATTGTCCTACAACATCTGCATATCTCAACCTCTTTGAGCAGTTTAATTGAGATGAATCACGAACTCAAACTGAAAGTTGTTCTAGAAAAGACCCCTTCTTCACTTTTGTTTGAGCACATTCACCACTTTCAGTTGCCAATCCATTATATATAACAGCATCATTCAGTTTACAAGAAGCAACTGCCCTTAAGATAGATTATCAAATTAGGTATCTGCGTATAATATTAAAACAAACTTTTGTCAGAGCACGTCAAATTATCCACTGAATACCCTAGAGTGGAGCAGAGAAACCAACTTCACAAAGTTGTAGAAATTTGTGCATATGTCAATGCATGAGTGCATTTTCCATGTTGAATTTACCATTAGAGGAGCAGGTATATCATAATATAAAAAAGTATGACTAAAATCACAATATACAATCATGGAAGACTAAAAATTCAATCATACTGACTCAGAATCTATACTTGAAACAGTAAATTCTTTGTCATTTGCATCTTATGTTATATACAAAGATTAATAAACAAAGAAGGAGACACTGATAGATTTGCATCATCCCACTATCTATCCAACTAACAATAAAACAGAAGGTGGTATATCATCAAACACCTTAACTACAACTAATCAATTTAATACAATCGAGTATTAAGTGAAACGTTTCTGTTTCCGTAAAGGGAATTGAGAATGGATTCTTACCCTTGGAAAAACGACTGAAGTAAGTCAACAGAGAATGAAAACAAAAAGACTATAAAGGTGTTGAATTGATGATGATGATGAAGGTTTCATGTTGAACTTGATGTTAAGAAAGGTGTTGGTAGTGTTAAACTCCGCCGTTGCGATATGAATACGATGACGGATTTTGTTTCACTAGTGGGGAAATCTCCATTCTAAAATTTTAAGTATTACTCTTTCAAGCACGTACACAGAGCAAAAGAACTTGTACCTCTTAAAATTCTTGAGGACAAAAACGAGCAGTCGTTGTTTCAATGGAAGAAGACCACTCGCTGTTTTCCTCCTTTCTTCAAATCTCTCCTCAGGGTTTGCAAAATCTGAATCGCTCTATCGACATTTTTTGCAAATCCATTCTCGTCATCTGATGGCAATAAAAGCAGAGAAGTTTTTAGGGACAGATCCTTGACAAGTTTCCTTTTTTCTACATAAACAATCCTTAGAAACCCTAACAAAAACCCAATTTTTCTTACCATCATTGTTACCATTCCTCTCTTTCCTCTTCACATCCTTGCCGAAATATGAGTAATCCCTGGAGCTATGCTTGCTTTGATTATGTAATTTCCTTCTTCAACTCCTCTTTAGTGAAACGGAAGGAAGAAAGTCGGTGATAAGAAGAGTAGTAGGGAACGGTGACCGGCAATGGTTTTCAGGGCCGGTCAAAAATGAGGGTGTGTTTGGATTTGTTTATTTAAAATAATTTATATTTTTTTATAAAGCATTTATTAATTTATTATAATTCAAAATAGTTTAACTTATTTAAAAACTTCTTATTATCGATTTGATACTGGTATAAATTATTTATCCGAATACTTAAAAGTGTTTATTATCGATGTTACATCAAAATAAGTCAATAAATTGTTTTTATAGCAATTCCAAACACCCCCGTAATGTTAAAACATGCTCTAATGATGTAAAATATTTTTTAACGTTTAAATAATATTAGTCAATATTCAATTATTTGTACAATTTATTCCAATAAAATTGTGTAAAACTTTATCTAAATTATAATAATTTAATTTCAATAACGTATTATATTATTTTTTTCATCAAATAAATTGTTAAAAATATATTTCATATTCCTAACTTATATACATTTTTAATAATAGTAGTTTATACAACGCATAAATTTTGAACAAACAATATACAGACAATTACATTTCTACTATGTATTAGTCAAATTTCATCATCAGTTATATTTTTTTTTTCTTGAATCATAATATATATATGAGTTTAAAAGAGAACACCTTCATTTTACGAGAACGCGAGAACATTCTTTTACTATAGACGATCATATGTGATAGAATAATGTGATACTATTATTCTATCACATATGATACTAAATTAGAGAATGAGGACGATTTTTGATGTGATATTGGTTGCGGGGCCAAGTCGCTCTTACACCACTAAGCCCCCTCACATGTATTATCACATGTGATAAATGTGTTGTTGATATGATACTATAATCCATCAAGACCATCACATGTAATGCTAAATCATAGACGTAGACAATCTTTGGCGCGGGCTAAGTCGTAGAACACATCGTCCGCACATCACAAGGTCCCTCACGCGCATTATCACATGTGATAAGGCTGTTTTCGCGTTCTCGTAAAATGGAGGTGTTCTTGTTTGAACTTTCACCTATGTGTGTATGTGTGTGTGTCATTTTTTATGTTTTATTATTTATGCATATATATCATATATGGACTAATATAAATATAACTTATAATATAATATTAATAAATATTATAACTAAAATAGCATTTATAATCAAATAAATTAAAATTATACGAACATGAAACTTGCATAAAGATTAAATATCAAATTTGTTGTACATTTCAGCAACATTACTTGTCAAGAATTGTAGTGAAATTGTGTGAAAATTGATATAAAAATAGGATTTTGCTCATGATGAGATGCCCTTTACCGAGTAACAAATCCACACTCAATTTCTTGAATAAACATGCTTGATGAAATTATACACATAACAAAAATAATAAGTTTTCAAGTATTATTATATGGTTTTCTTAAAATAACTAGTTGTGTACCCGTGCAATGCGGCGGAAGCCGTGAATTTTAACGATTTTGAAGTTTCACTAGTTTTATTATAGAATATTTAACGACCATATAAGTTACACTTGGTCTTTACATATTAATACAATTTGAATAAATAAGAGTTATGGTTCCAATTACAGTCTATCGATGRAAAAAATTGTATGACAGTTTAAAATCCAATATATTTAAAATCCAACATATTTAAACGATTCCACAAATGTGTTCGATTTATACCAAGTGCAAAGAATCAAGAGATCGAGAGCGAGAACGAGAATTCTAGAGCAATTGAATGGGAGAACATTTAATAACTTATGGTGAATATCAGTTTGAATCTCACCTTTGGGGGATGGGGAGAGGGTGAAGGCATGAGTGAAAGGTGTCAAGAGTATCTTGGGAACATAAAAAGAAAAGGTAATAATGTGCATTGGTAATTTGTACTATGTGTTATTTTAATTGTAGATTAAGAGATTTTAGACTGAATGCATAAAATAGTAGTACTTAATGCATTATGAGTTGTTTTTAAGACTTTATGCATAAATGTATAGTACTTTGTGCATTAAAATTTTATAAGGTAGTATAGATTAGGGGTGTAAATGATGTGAGTCGAGCTCGAGTATCACTATACTCGACTCGAACTCGAAACCCAATTTCCAAGCTCAAACTCGACTCGAAAACTCGCAAGTAATAAAAATCAAAGCTCGACTCGAACTCATAACTATTTCTAAAGCTCGAACTCGAACTTGAATCAGTCTCGAACTAAGCTCGAATAAAGCTCGAAACAAGTTCGAACTCGAATCAAACTCGAACCAAGCTCACCCATTGAAATTTTGAAATTTTAGAGTTTTTCTCTTATAAATTTTAAAACTTAAAGGTGTTACTTAGTTTTTATAAAACTAAACGATCAACTTCAAACTTCATCATCAAAAAAACAAAGTTAGAAATTACATTCACCTCCCTCTCTTTTTATAACATTTTTTCTCCCTTCCTTTACCATCTTTATTCCAATGTGGGACAATTTTACTAACATTTATTATAGTTTTTCTTTGTCTTTTTTTTTAATTGTGATTTTAAAAAAAATTTGATTAAGTTTTATAATTAAAAAATGCATAATTTTGTTTAAATATCTAAAAATATAAGGCATTTTTATTATTTATATTTTACAATTTTTATCATAAAAACTGATTATATTTTAAAACTAATTATATATAAAATAATCGAGTATCTGGCAAGCTTTTCGAGTCGAGTATTGGGTAGCTTGACTCGACTCGTTAATATATTGAGTCGAGCTCGAGTTCGAGCCGAGCCTATTCGAGTCGAGTGTTGACCGAGTCGATCTCAAATAGCTCGCGAGTTATCTCGTATTATTTACACTCCCTAGTATAGATAAATTATACAAATATTAATTGTGTTATTAATTTTATTTCAAATAAATATTTATTGTTGTAAAAACACGACAAAAATGAACTTAAAAAATTAAGCAAAAGTGAAAAAAATAGGGAATAGGGAGCGAAGTATTAGAAGCGGAATCTAGATAAATATAAACAAAATAATCTTAAGCTCATTGGTAAAGTCTCCTAATAATACTATATGACTTAGGTTCAAATATTCCTAGTAAAATTTAATTTTTAGTGAACATACAACTAATATTTGACTACTACCCATAGGGCCGGCCCTGATGGTTGTACAAGAAGAAGCAGTTGAGAGCAATTAAGCTGACACGTAGGGAGTGGGGGACAATTTAGATATTACCCGGTACATAGTTAGGGGACGTATGTAGCATTAAAAATCATACTTCTTAAAATTCAACAATAACTACTATTCATGTTTAAATGTACGAATATAGTCATTAAACTTTGAAAACTGGGATTTAGTATATGTTGGTCCCAAACGGGTCTACAAGAATACTAAACAGTTTGTAGAAGGGGGGGATGAATACAAACACAATTTTCAAATTTAAAATATATATTGATAGAGAAGATCAATACAGATTTTACAAGATT